AAAAAAAAAAAGAAATAATAGTTGAAAACTTCCCACACCTGGGAAAGGAAACAGACATCCAAATCCAGGAAGCCCAAAAGTTCCAAAAAGATGAACCAAAAGAGACCCACACCAAGACACATTATAATTAAAGTCTCAAAAGTTGAGACTTGGTGACAAGGTGAGACAAGGTGAGAATCTTAAAAGCGGCAAGAGAAAAACAACTTGTTATGTACAAGAGAACTCCCATAAGACTATCAGATTTTTCAGCAAAAACATGGCAGGCAGAAGGGAGTGACACAATATATTCAATGTTGAAAGAAATAAACTTTCAACCAAGAATACTCCACCTGGCAAAGTTATCATTCAGAACTGAAAAAGAGATAAAGACTTTCCCAAACAAGCAAAAGCTAAAGGAATTCATCACCACTAAACTGGCCTCACAAGAAATATTAAAGGCATTTCTTTAAGCAGAAAAGAATAGGCACTAATTAGTAACAAGAAAACAGATGAAAGGATATATCTCACTGTTAAAGGTAAATATACAGTAAAGGTAGTGGATTAATCCCATATAAAACTCATATGAAGGTTAAAACACAAAAGGAGTAAAAATAACTATAAATACAATAATTATTTAAAGAGATACACAAGATAAAAAGACATAAATTGTGACATCAAAAACATAAAATGGGTGGGAGAGAGTAAAAATGTAGTGCTTTAGAATGCATTCAAACTTAAGATGTTATCAACTTAAAATAGACTTATAAACATAAGTTGTTTTATGTAAGCCTCATAGTAACCACAAAGCAAAAATCTATAGTAGATACACAAAAGATTAAAAAACAAAAATAGAATGTAAGCATACCACTAGAGAAAATTGTCAACCCACAAAGGAAGAGAGCAAGAAAAGAAGGAATAAAAATTTACAAAACAGCCAGAACAAATTAACAAAATGGCAATAAGTACATACCTACCAATAATTACTTTAAATGTAAATAGACTAAATTCTCCTATCAAATGACATAGAGTGGCTTAATGGATTAAAAAACAAGACCATCTATATGTTGCCTACAAGAGACTCACTTCAGATATAAGGACACACAGAGAATGAAAGGGAAGGGATAGAAAAAGATATTCCATGCAAATGGAAACCAAAAGAAAGCTGGAGTAGCTATACTTGTACCAAACAAAATAGACTTTAAGACAAAGACTATACTAAGAGATAAAAAAAGTTGTTATACAATGATAAAGGAGTATATCCAACAGGAGGCTATAACATTTGTAAATATCTAGGAGCACCTAAATATATAAAGCAAATATTAAAGACCTAAAGGGAGATATAACATAGGAGCACCTAAATATATAAAGCAAATGTTAACAGACCTAAAGGGAGAAATACACAGCAATATAATAATAGTAGGGGACTTTAATACCATACTCTCATCAGTGGATATCATCCAGACAGAAAATCAATATGATCAATAAGGAAACAATGGCTTACGACATATTAGACCAGGTAGACTGGCAGACATTCCATCCAAAAGCAACAGAATACACATTCTTCTCAAGCACTCATGGAACATTCTCC